TCATCATTACGACGGAGGAGGAGCAAGAAAATGGCCGACAATTGGACGCAGAGTGTTGCTTGCCGGTAAGGAACGTACGTAATGGGCATTGCGCGTCGCAAACTTTGGGGCAGTTATTCGCGAAAGACGTTCTTCGCACGTGATCGGGGTTTACGTAAATAGATAGAGATAGAGAAGTCGGGCGCAAACATGTCATGAAGTGGCAACGTTCAATCGAGACAAATGCAATAATATAAATATTGACACTGGCGGATGTACATCTATGTCGTTACGAATTTCTCGATAATTTCAAACCCAAACGAGCGTATTTTGCATCATCGTGGCAACACGCTTGTCTCGTGTCTTTCACATAATAATATACTTTTTCTAGATACTTCAAGAATGGCGCTTGTCGCGAAGGAAATAACTGTCGGTACCGGCACGTGCAAGCGACTAGAAATGAAGCTAGTATCAATGAGGCAGTGGCAACGTCGACCAATGGTCCTACCTACATCATGACTTGTCGCTTCTTCAAACAGGGCATGTGTAAATTTGGCAATCAATGCCGTTTCCGTCATAGTTCAGATACCGAAAATGAAGCTACGCAAACCAACGCAATAGAAAATTCTGCCTCGAGTCAACCTACAACAAATTCTTTGAGAAATAAGTAAGTATAAATGTAGCATTGTAACACGTGACCTGTGTATTAATTCTTAGTTATTAACAGAGTAGAAAGCGCCAGTGTAAAATATGATATGATTCTATAATATTGTTTGTTAATTTTTTAAAGATGAGTCATAAATGTCTCTATTTAGGTTCATTAATAGATTGAATCATAAATACTTTCTTGAGCAATTGTTAATTGTCGCAGCAAATACATTATTATCTTTATCGACGATGTCTATTTACTCGTAGAAAAGCTGATAAACGCAATGCTGAAGAATGGGTGAAAGCACCTGAGTTTATACCTACAGCTGTGCCTCCTGTAGCTGGATCATCTACAGATGGAACGTCTACTTCAGGAACATCTACAAGCACATCAATGGCAGTTTCGTATGCTCAAGCTGTTAATCCATCTGGTCAAGCTTCAAACCCTGCCTTAGAACCTCTGTGTCCATATGAAGAAGCGGGTGGAGTTTGTAGGAATATAAACTGCACATATCTTCACGGCCATACTTGCGAATTATGTAGCCGTGCAGTTCTTCACCCATATAATGAAGAATTGAGGAAAAAACATACAAATGTAAGTATTTATCCAGCTGTCATTTTATCCAATTACATTATATTAGATTGAATCGTAAATAATTTCTACTACAGTAGAGAAAATACTTATCTAAGAATGGAAATTATTTATATTTATATTTATTTATACTCAATATTTATGTAGGCTGCATATTTTGCTCATTATACGTCGAAGAAAGATAGAATGACGCTTTTAACGTAAGCGTTCAAAGCAAACGCAGCCCTAGTATTATATTTAATAATTTATCTAATAATAAATATTCTTTGTTCTATATATATATATATGCTTTAAGTTATGAAATAGTCATTAAAGGCAAATTAAATGACTATCAAATTTCTATTTCAAGCTTAATATTTTTCTCATTAAAATGTGCGCATGTGTATGTTTAGAATATTTTATAAATTTCCATGATATTTAACATCTTGATTTTATACAGGCATGCGTAAAGCAGCACGAAGCAGATATGGAGTTATCCTTCGCCATTCAGCGTAGCAAAGAAAAATCCTGTGGCGTTTGTTTCGAGACAATAATGGAGAAATCCTCACGAGAACAGAGGTTTGGTATATTGCCAAATTGTAACCATTGCTTCTGCCTATCTTGCATCAGGAAGTGGCGTCAGGCTAAACAGTTTGACAACAAAATCATAAGAGCATGTCCAGAATGTCGTATTCCCTCGGACTTTGTTTGTCCTAGTATGTATTGGGTAGACACAAAGGAAGAAAAGGAAAAGTTGATAAGAGATTATAAAGGCGCTTTAAGGTACGAGCACTTTAACAGATGATCAATAATACGCCTTTATTTGAACAGGTTTTATAATATGTTGTTATTTTTCTAGTACCAAGGACTGCAAGTACTTCAATAAGGGTCGTGGCAAGTGTCCGTTCGGTAATAAATGTTTCTATCTACACGCACTTCCCGACGGAACCAAGAAAGACGTGGGTCCACCTGTTCGACAAAGGCGCAACACCGCTGATCCCGACATGGACCTATTACATGTAAGTATTATTTATAATTTGCAAAAGTATATTTATCTTGATCACGGATAAGCGCATTTTTTTTTGTAAAATGTTTCTCGAGCGTATATCACACGCTGTGAATCAAACAGTCGAGTTACATCCGTATACTTTACATCGCATTCTGGCATACATAGAATGTGAAAAAGCGGCTTTGCACTATTTACAGCAACTGATCTTGTGGGATTTCCTCGATGAAAGGGACGATCGTTGGATGTATCTCGATTTAGAAGATATTCCTTTCTTCTCAGATTCTGACGAATCTGATTGGTCCGATTATGAGCTGTCGTTCGATTAGACAGGCAAGCCTAGTCGATCGACGCAAAACTGCCTTGATACTACTGTTATAAAGACCATTGCTTACTCTGTTGCTACATCGATACCCACTTCCTTTACTATTCACGCGCGGATTTAGCAACTAAGAAAATTATTAGATAATTAGCAAATAATTTGAGTGATTATAATTTGAAGACGTTCTAGCGCTACGTAGAAGAAAAAAAAAATACACAAAAAAAAAACAAGAAAAAATGTGCGCACTTTCCTAAAATAATTCACGTATAAGAAATAGAATCGGCATCAAAATAATTAAGATACTTTTTATAGTAGATGATTTTTAAAAATTTTATTCTTTATGAAAGATATGTTGATAATAATTTTTAAAACATTAAATGCACATTTATCATAGGAGAATTGTGTAAACTATTTAATAGAAAATTTAACATATTTTAATAATTATTATCTTCAATGTGGAATAAATTTTGTAAAAATTATCTGTGAAAAGAACATTCAACTATTTTGATGCTGACTGTATACCTGTGTATAAGCGGTTATGAAATCAGTAATTTCATTAATAATCGAACAAAAAAGAGAAAAACTGGGGAATAACATGGATAGTAGTGAAGATTTCGTTAGATATGCATCGTAACTTCGGAGTATCACCTTTGTGTGTCTTGACTAATGCTGTACTAACTAAATGATTGTTCTAGCAACTATTATTAATTCAGTGGTCCAAATTTCATCAGTAAATATAGTACATCAATATTTTCCTGATGTCCTTTTTCTCTTAAAGTACCTAATATTGTTAGTTTTTTTCTATACTCGCAATACTAATAATTATTGTTAAACTATTCCATGATGCATGATTCGGAATACATTTACATATATTAAATCGAATCATAGAGTAAGAGAGTCAATAAAGAATCGGAATTTTAGTGATTGTCAGCATTGAAGGGTAAAATTACTTGCTTTTTTTATAAGTATAAAAAGTAGTCAGATATATCAAAATAGGTGAAAAATAATTTTATTGTAGTTTTTTTTTATTAAGGCTTTTCTTTGGTTACTGTCAGTTAGATTAGATTAGATTTACACTATTTTGTAATTTCAATAAACATTTGTCACTCCATAATATTACATTATTACATGTACTTAATCGATATCTAAAAATTTTCGAAAATGTGCTAACGTGGTATTTAAACTATACTATAAACACAATGCAAATTATGATTTAAATTGATTTCGTCAGATTTCATTTAAATTTATGAAAAACATCTAAAAAATAGACTGTTACGAAAAATGTTTTGTGATTGCAAGGTAACTTTGCGTTTGAAATAAAAATCTTTCTAAATGTAATGGAATTTGATGTAGCCCGTAGCATATAAATTAAATATGCATTACATTCAGTAAAAATTTTTTAATAATTGTCGTGATAAAGCGAAGTAATGTTGCAATTACAGCGCATTCTATTTCATTATTACTCGTCGAAGGCTCACAACACTACTATTCACATATAAAATAAGAAAACTGGACAACGATTTATTACTTGTGTGATCAGTGTGCATTGTTAGTTCAATTTTTCACTAGTTCATATCGAAGGTACGATCTACAACTATCGTCCTACCTCTTGCTACGGCTCCGCGAATCTTTAATACATTTCTTTAAATTATTAAAGTTGTATAGCGTTATTCGTGAGTAATATGTATTCCTAAGACTTCTCTGAGAATAAGTGTGCAAAGTGAATGTGATATGTGTAAGGTATGCAAGCATGTATCGTGCGATATTCATATGTGTGTGCGTAAGTGTGCGAATGGAAGTAAGTACGAATATAAAAATATTTGCGAGAAACAGACTACCGATATAGCATATATGGGATAAATAACAAATGTAATAAAGAGATTGCTTTTCGTGAAATACGCACTTGTAGATTGAAGATTTAAGGAGACAATTAGGGAAGTACGCACGACGGAGTTGGACCCACGACATAGAGCCATACTGGGAAATCATCGTCGCTTTTTACATTTTACCAATTTACTTATGATAGCAACACGTTCCGAAAGCCGTTTTCTCCATATAGAGCCATGATGATTACGCTTTGAAAAAAAAAAACAAAAACAAAAACAAAAAAAAAAGTGGAATTCTTTTGTATAAAACGGTTACATCTGACGAGATGGTATGTACGAACAAAAATGCACACCAAAGAAATAAGATATTCGTTTTTTAGCAATGAACACTTTGTTAAAAAAATTTATTTTTTAAGTTTCTGCCGAATGGTCCTTTTGCGATATATATATATATATTTATAACAACTCTCGCGTTGTTCTTCGTGCAGTTTTTCTGCTCGCACTTACAATTTAATTCATATTCCCGGGAAGTAGGAAGAAGTGATCGGCTACAACTGAGACTCATCGGTACTGCCTTTCGAAAAAAAGCTATGTGATTGTAGAGATTAATATATCGTTCGTCGCTGTCGTCAGTTTTTTAATCTTCAATGAACGTTTTATCGCGTAAAACTTTCGCTATGCTATCGTTTACATTTTCCATAGAATTTCTATGCTGTTAATTTTATCGATAACTGTTAGTATAAAACGCTTATTGTTACCGATAATGTTTATAGAGAGCTTTTTACGATATATTCTGCGTTTCGAGCGGCTATTTTTAAAGTTATTTCAAGAACCATAAATCCCGAAGCGGGAAACCAAAATGTATAAGCGCTTGAGCGATTTTGAATTGTAAAATATTGGAAATTACATCGATGAGTCGATTAGAAGTTCTTAAGTCTCTGATAATTTTGGAAATAACGGAAATTTTTATCGTTTACCGTAGGTACGTTTAGTACAATATGTATTGTCAGAAGAAAGCTAAGTTAACTGCGTTGATCGTTGCACATTTTGCTGTCGTCATTGCTACTTTCATTTATCTCTAAATAAGCATATTGTCATTTATTGCATTAGAATGCTCTAAATGCATGAAACGCGGAAGCAGATACATAAAATTAGGAATTGATATTTGTAAAATCGTTCAACGCACACTCTTTCGTTTTCTTTTTGGCGATGCGTTTTCGAAGCTTCGTTTTATAACTTCGGAGAGAGTTCAGTATACAACATATAGTAATTATCTGAAGTCAATATTCTATTTGTGTGTGATTTTTTAAATAATTCCGAAGAATATATATTGATTGGAAGAAAGGTCAATTCATTGTTTTATTTGGAGTATTGACAAGCAAATTCATTAAAACGACATTCTTGATACTTTAATCATTTCATTTTCAGGATGGTTTTATTTAGGTAGTTTAGAAATTGTAGGATTTGCAAAACAACAATGCGTTATATCTGCGTACAGAATTCAATCGCCAAGATTCTACCGTAAGTGTGCATTGATGCGAATTAACTGTACCTGTATTGAATGCTGTATTAGGTAACAACGGGTGTTTTCCCTTTAGCAAGATAAATAGGCTTCATAGATTGTTACATAAATCATTATTTACATAAATTTGAGGTTAAATAGTTCGAATCATTTTTTCATTTTTTTTTTTCGGCTTATAGCATGCATGATTGTTTAGGATAATATTGTGCGGATTACATCAAGTGTATTATTTATTTTTATTCCATATGTTAAACGATTATTCTGTGTGTTTTATCATATCAGAAACGCTCAAAGAGAGAATCTTAGCGAAGTAGTTAAGTTTTAGGGAAGAAAATTTGTTGATATCACCGAAAATTTCTATACGTAATTAAATCTTATATTTTTGTAATTATCGCATTGTGCTTACGTTATATAAAACCGATCGATATAATAAATATATAAATAAAAATCTAATTTGCTAGGTAATGCATATCATCATGAAAGAAAAAGGTAAAGTCGACGTTGCAAGCATTGTTGTGCCACAGCTTGTTTCTTACGTCTTTAATAGATCTTAGATTATTGTGAATGTTCTTTTAGCCAATAAATATGTAGAGCAAGCAAACTGTATTTTCACTACATAATACGAAATTAAAAGTAAGCGAACAAGTATGTCTGCATCGTCTATAATTCACCCTTTTTATATAACAATACATTTAATTATAATAACAGTATGTTCTCTTTTCTCTTAGTCTTTTCATTTCGCTTTTTTTTTTAGTACAATATGTAATAGAATATAATAGTAAAACTGTTATGTTTGCTTTGCATCGTATTATGTCGCATTTTGTAGGCAAAAAATATACTTACAGTCCAAATGTGTTCAGTAGTTTTTTGATAATATCTAGTATTTAGTAAAGTATATTTGTAAAATATTGAAACTACTTTCCCGGCATTATGAACAAACGCAGACTATTCGAGGGTAGTTGAGCACAAATTTTATCGACCATGATCAATATTGCGCTTGTAGAATACACGATAATAATTGCAGCGAAATAAATCTGTCGTGGCAATCGTGACGACGAATGTCGTTCGTAAAACATGCTCGCTCACTGTAGATGTAAACGTAATTCTTATATCGGGAACGCTATAAACTTGAGGCAGAGAAGGGAGTATAATTGAGCGATTTACATATCATGCATCGCGATAGAAGATTTTTCGCGTGCTCTTTTCATGTATCAGAAAGTACATGAAATCTGAGAATTGCAAAAGAACACTGGAAACTTCCTGTTGCACAATACACGATATTTAAATTATTGCAGCATTACCCTCCTTTCTCCTATCGTCGAGAGTTCGCCGTCAGTTTTGCGTGCCCATTCACTTTTAACGCAGTAGAATTATTCATTAGTGATAAAAAGTCTATGTAACGTTATTAGAAATTTATATAAAATCCGTTTCTCGTGTGTACGATCGGATCGGTCCAACGTGTTTTCCGATACTTTTCACCGTGTGACTTCGACCGGTGTGTCACAGCTAATACAAATCATCCGCAGCAACTGCAACGTTGTTGTATCGTTGTTGTATCGTCGTTGTATGAGCTTCTCCAGTTATTATATAAGAAGGAACATAATGACTGTCCTGTTTGTTTTAAGCGCTGGTATCAGTAGTTATCGATTGTATATTCATAGAGTCTGACGAGGAAGATAAGTGATCCCTGTCTTCAATTTCATTTCTTACGATGATATATTTTTATTATTGGACATTAGACTAATAAAATTGACAGTAAGTCTGTAATAGATGGAAAACAGGTGTTTTGTATTCTTCCTCTACTATTTTTTTTTTAGTTCCTGAACCACTAACAATCCTATTCAAAACTGAACAATTGTTTCGAAATATTTCTCCATTTATTTTATATCTATTTATGTATTCATATTTTTCTGCAATATTTTTCCAACCAATTTATTCAGCGATGGCTAAAATAATTTATCGTAAATTGATATAAATAGATTAATAAATCATGACAAAATATTTTATTTTGTGTTATTTATATCATTATTTTTATTTTGAAATTAAAAATTTAAATACTGAAATGCTAAATCAAGCAATATTATGCAAATGCTTTAACTTTATCGCGTGTTTTATTATCAATGCAATCAGCATTGCTTTACATTTTATGTTATCAATAGTTGTTAAGTTGATATTTTTGTTTATTACGTTGTAAAATTTGATAGCAGAGGGCGACTGCGGTATTTCATTCGTGGTTTATTTGGTCCAAAGCTCACAAATAGCCATGGTATTTCTGTGATAATTTATTGAAAAACGATGAATGTATTTTTGCGAGCGCTGATTAAGTCGGCGCCGATCTAAAAGAATTATATTTCTGCGAGAATACGAAAGTAGAATCGCAGGTAATTGATCTTTTTCGATCGTATACTTGAAATAATGTCGAGAAAGGGAGAACAGGTCAAAAACCTCACAAGGCAATAGAAAGAAACGCACAAATGAATATCTTTCTCTACTTTTATTTACGCCAATATTTTAAATTATATATCCTATGCTGCATAGATAGCCGCATGAAGTGTTTACCATGTAAACACATCTTATCGTGATTGATATATTTGATAAGTGAATCTGCCAAAGCAATGAAATACTTTTTCTACTTATAGTTATTACGTAATACAAATTATCTACTCCCATGAATTTATTAAAAAATTTATTGAAAAATGTTTGTATTAACAAACATTGTCCAATTGCAAAAATTAATTTCCAAACACTGATGTGAGCAAAAAGGCCATTTTATTATTTAATAAAAAAATCGTTGTTTTATTAAATATTGTAAACAAGAGGAACTCAACTCCCACATATTTTTATGTATATCCCGATATTCGGATTAATATCTATTTGCATGATTTTTTTTGCATGTAGGTATTATCTCGTTGAAAAAATATCAGGAAAGTTTTATAACATTCGGTGAATTACATTCAAAATGGATATCTTAATATTGTAAATAATTTTGCGCACTTTGGATCGAAAGTCAGAGTAAAACCGTAACAAAAATAACGACTGACAGGACACATGGACGAGACAACACAGTGCATTTTTGCGGAACACCTGAAATCGGATTTGTCCAATTGACAGAGTTTCGTGGTAGAACGCAGTACAACAACGGCGGTGTTTACGTCATTCGTTGCGCGAGGCGCGACTTTATTGTACAGGGCGGAATATGGGTTTGGTCAACCACGGATTCGCGATGGTTAACTAGAACAGGAAGTTAATCTCGACGAGCACGACGAATTAGCATATAAATTCGCCGAAATGGTCTATATATATGTGTCCAGGTGATATATATATATATATATATATACATGTCGCCACGGGTATCGCGAGATCGCTTTGAGTCGCAAGACATGCGGCTTCCCTTTGTGGATTTGATTCGTTGCCCTTTTGTGATTCGGCGTTTGTACGGATATTTGGATGATACATCAACGACGCGTATTATATTTCTCTCTCTAAAATCGCCGTTGCGGCTCAAGGGACTAAGCAGATTGTGCGGCCGCGAATATTTAATGTTCCCCGGATTCGTATTATTACGATACGCGTAATCAGAAAATGTGCGCGGCGTATAAAATAAAATATTGTTGATTATACTTATACCAATCACTGCAGTCAACGTATATTGTTGCGCAATTACATCTAAATTGCGATCGATTCGATTGCGCGAATTAAATTACTAAAATCTATTAACTTTACTGAAATTTGATATATCAATTGAAATCTAGAGAAAATAACAGATAAATTTCAAATGAAATATGCAATTAAAATCTCATTGTACGTTTATCTTTATCATGTTGTTTTTATCATGTATATAGGAATTTTATAAAAACAATTTTCACACAGGTATCAATATCACTTACCTCAGTTTAGCTTTTAAAATCTCGTTGCAGCTGATGTTGCAGATGGTGTTGACATGGCTCGTGGTGGTCGTCGTCTTTCATATCTCGGAGTTTTTGCCATACGATTCTGACGAAGAGATTATTTAGCCGCGGTTGTCTAGAATAAACGCGTGACAATGGTCGGTGAACTTAATTACAAGTGAAGATTTGTTTGGTGGCTACCGGACGACCAGGAATTTAATTAAATGCTCACCTGTGCTTACGCTACTTTCGGACACCATGGATGAGACAGTGGTGAAAAAAATCATGCGATATGCACCGACATTACGAAAAGGTGTTTGCGCGGATTCGCGCGTACGAAGTAGAAATGCGTTTCGAGGTATAAGCTGGAAGCTTAAAGCGCGGTAAAATGTGCGGTGGTTAAATTTCCCGTGAAAATACAGGGTGTCACGGGAGCAACGAACGTAGAGAAACTATGTTTCTTGCGTGTGTGTGTGTGTGTTAGAGAGTTGCGGTGATTATTCCCTTAAAAGTAAATTTATAGTAAGCTAACCCGACTTTGTAGAATTATTCTTTTATGCGTGCTGCTGTGCTGCATTTTTGTTACACTCGCATGAGAAATTATTGAAATTATAATACCGTCGCATTCTATGTACAATTCCTTCTTCACGCGACGAGACTTTAATTCCTTGAGCAAAATCTGCTTAAATTAATTCCAATTTAATTTCTATATAAATGATAATAATTCGTGTCTGCTTAACGTCCGAAATATTTATTTTCTTTTGTAGAAGATCACACAAATTCGACTTTCTTTTAAAAATGCGAGAAATTCAGACAGTAGCGAGTTAATGGGAAAAATCTCAGATTCTGGACGTAAAGAAAACCGGGGGAAAGATTAGGATAGAACCGAGTAGACGGAAAAGGGAGAAAAAGAAAACAACGGGCGAGGGAATATAGAATCGGTTTCTCTGTCGAGTCTATTTAGCCCCGCGAAGAATCTCTAAATTGCCTCTGTTTGTTTCGCAAGCAAAGAAGCGCCGTCGTGCATCAAAATGGTCGATCGGTGTGCCGAGGTAGCCGATGTCTAATATATCGAGAAATCCTCTTTTGGGCTGATCGTGACCCATCGACTCGATGTTGATTCGCCGCGTTTTCGAGTTGAAAGCTCTTTTAGCTGATCGACGGAAAAGCTAGAAAAAAAGGAAAGCGGTAAAATCAAATAGTATATAGCATAACGATTGTACTGACAAACGCTCAATGCGAGATTAAATCGGATTAAAGCGGGTAATTTAGATCTACATAATGTATTGCGAAATTATCATAATATCATCATTATACGATAAGAACATTTGATATATAATTATCACATTATCTCCTTTTCAAGAAAAATTGTTTCATAAGGTGACAATACCAGACATAATAATGAAGTAATATAAAGAAATTGTTTTTATATTAATTATCGATTTAATATATTTTAATCGAGATACATTTATTTTTATTCGGTCGATTGATTTTATTTTTCATCGAGAATTATCATATTTATTGCAATGTATGCGATAATAATCTAATGAACTGATCAAAAAGTTTGTTCGCATTTTTGCAATAGATGATGTCATTAATATATTGCACTAAGCATCGAAACTTCATCAAATGATTTTGAACACTGGATTGTGATATTTTTAGTGTTTCTGCAATCACTCGCGTCGTTATGTGTAAGTTTACTCCCATCAGTGACTTGATTTTGTCATCGACAACTGTAACTGGCCTCACCATCTTCGAGTG